ACACACACACACACCCCGTTCTCTCCCCCTCACTCCTTTCTCTACCCCTCTCTCTGCATCTTGTAAAGTAAATTAATCTTAGACAAAATTCTCTTTCCTTAAACATTTTTCTTTAATTAAGTAGGTCTTTTTTACGCCTTCATCGACACAATTTAGTTTCTCTCCTTCCCCAGATGATCAAGGCAAAGACACCTTGCTGTCGTTCATCGGCCCCACTGCCGGCCGAGACGCCAAGAAGGTAGCGGTCAGTCAAAAGATGGACATGTTGGTGTCTGTGGTCATAAACGATAACTTTGACGTACCCATCAACATCTCGATGGAACTGGACGCTATCGAAAGTAAGATCTCATCCTCTGATTCTCTCCCTTCTTTGTTTGTTTATGATTTTATTTTTTAAAAGAAAAAATATTTTTATAAACAAAACAAAAATTATATATATATGCATGTACAAATGTGTATATGGCGGGTGTTCTGGTGTGGTTTGCTCCTTCTTTCCAGTCAAACATCTATCGTCCTTATCTCTCCTCCACCTTTTTCTGTTTTTACTACTCTCTTGAAGCACCTCTAATCTTCGACACTTATATGGGCTCACTGTGTTTCAAGTGCCGTAAAACTTTTATTAAAACTAAACTTTTTAAAAAAATTAAGAAATAAAAAAAATAACGAGAGTCTTAAAACACCATCATGTTGTGAAGTGTTTTACTGTCAATAAGTCATAACATTTTTGTCATTTGTTTATTTGTTTGTATGTTTATTTGTTGTTGTTTTTTTCAGTTAACGGCTGTGGTGGAACGACACTGACCCTGAATGTGACAGAAGAGAGCCAATATCTGACCTCCCTGGGCTACCCACAGCTGTACAAGAGGTCAGGACACACGGGCTGCTCTAACTTTGGCATTAGCAACAACAATCATAATATCGATGATGATAATAATAGCAATAATAATAGTACCAGTAATAGTAACAATAGCAAAAAGAAGAAGTAGAAGAGGAAGGAGAAGGAGGAGAAGGAGAAGAAGAAGATTATGGGTACAATGGCATGGGTAACATTCCCACCTGGGTGAGGTGAGGGAATTTACCACACCTGAAATGCAAATAGGCCAAAATACTATTAAAGTAACTGCCAACGATTAGAGTCTAGTTACAAGAGAGTAACAGATAAAGAAAAGACAATAGATGTAGGATAGGTGAGCAGGAGCAAACCACACCAGAGCATCCGCCAACCATCCACAGTTGGCACTTTTGTTAATATAGGTGTTTTTATGCAAACCATATCGGTACTCATGCCAGCTACCTTCTTTTGGCCCTTTTTAAATGTAGCTATTTTTGTGCAAACCATACTAGAGCACCTGCCAACCATCCACATTTTGCCCTGATTCTTTTTTTTTTTCCAATGCAAGCTATACCAGAATACCTGTCGAGCCCTCACGTTGTGACGCTGTCCGTGTTTTTTTTGTTACTGTAGGTGTTTTCATGCAAACCATACCAACGTACATGCCAACCATCCACAACTGACCCTGATGTATTTTTTTTTCCAAATGTGAGGCAGCGTGGTGAAATGAGGCGCTCATCAAAATAGTGAAAGTCAAGAAACTGGCATTTTCCCGCAGGTTTGGGAATCTTTATCGAATTTTTGTTTTTTGGCTCAACACCTTTCATGCCCTTTAAAGAACACATTTCTGTGTGGATTTTACTGAGAAACGTTGATTGAAGGCATAAAAGATGTAAATTTTCAATTTCCAAGGACTCTCAAGCAAAGGAAATAACTCAAACTCGGAGGCCACTTTCTCGCTAATTTTACCTCTGAAACCAGGTGACCCCCACCTCCTTCAATCGTAAATATCTTGAATTGTATCCAAGATAAATTGATATTTTTTCACCAAAAGCAAGACAAATGGACAGGCTTTAAGATTATATCAATAACTCCATATGCCCCAAAATTGATGAGCGCCTGATTCCACCGCATCATGACACAACTGTAGCTATTTTTATGCAAACCCCATCAGAGCACACGTCAATCGCTCACTGTTTCCTCGTGCTGTCTCCCCCCCCACCCCTCACCCCCTCACCCCCTCACCCCTCACCCTCACCCTCGCCCCCCACCCCCACCCCCACGCAGTGACGTAATGTGTGTGTGGAAACTTCTAGCTCCAAAAGACAAACACATCGTGATTGAGGTCATCGACCTAAACATGGACACCGACCCAGGGATCTCTGGGAACTGCCTGACCCTCAGTGACAATGCAGGTCTGTTCCACATCATCATCATCAGAGAGAGAGAGAGAGAGAGAGAGAGAGAGAGAGAGAGAGAGAGAGAGAGAGAGAGAGAGAGAGAGAGAGAGAGAGAGATTTTTAGTCGGAACACAATGTACTGTGTATGTGCTACTGTTGTATTGTTAACTCACTTAAGCTTGAGCTATTTTCTACCCAACAGCCATTGCATCCTGACAGTTTGGGGGTATTTTGAATCGTTCTCCACAAAAAGACTGTGAAAGCTATCATCCTTACTTCAAAAGTGTAACAAAAGAAAGAAAGAAATGTTTGCACTGAAGGAGAAAACTGTAGGCCTATCTATTTTGCCCCAATAGTTTTTATTTTATCAATATTTTGAAATGGCAATGTCTTTGGGTTACTCAGTTTTTTTGGGAGGTCCCAATTCTGTAATAAAATCATCTTACAAAAAATACCTGTCCTGCACCGAATAAGCAACACCGAGTGTTCATAGAATTATTACTTCTTCTATGTGTTAAAGAACATTTTCTGTATAACTCGAAAACAACATACGAGCAGTTAATTCTAACTTGTGTATGTTGAGTTTGGTGTGGAAACATGAAATCGAGTCCCTGTAGGAGTACATGATGCGTTTCGCAAAGGATGCGATAATAGTGTGCTATTATTTTGTATTTGCTGCTTGTTGTCTGGTGTTCCCAACCCATGCTGATATATTATAAAGAGATTGATCATAATTTCTAAGGCTGAATGGTAGAATATGGACATCAATGATTGTTCAACTTTAAAATACATGAGCTTCCTTAGAAAAAATAGTCTTTTGTTCCTTTTTTTATGCAGGAAAGAAGTATGGACATGCCAGTCGAGTTTGTTGTCTATTGTAACACCCAAATACTTATAATCTGACACTTGCTCGACGTTTTCATTTTTAATTTGGAGTGGCTGCAGGGGCAATTTCTTTTTTTTAAGTCAACAAGTTTTTTTGAGTCTATTCACTTCACTTCACTCAGAAAAGTTTAGTACAAAATTCCGGTAAGCAGTTTCGTTATGGTCAGCCCGAATTAGCCCAATTATGATTGAATCGTCTGCAAATTTGATCAACTTGATGTTACTGTTGTTTATTTGGCAATCGTTCATATCCAATGTGAACAAAACTGGTGACAAAACACATCCTTGAGGAGCCCTTGTTTTTGTTGTGATGTATGTCGATGAGGAATGTTTTAATTTTACATACTGGGTTCGGTTGGTCAGAAAATTGCCTATCCTTGACATTAAATTGACGTTAACACCTATCTTTTCTAATTTCTTTAAAAGGATAGCTGGCTGGATAGTATTAAAGGCTGAAGGAAAATCATCAAACAGGATCGTACAGTATGTTTTTGGCTTGTCTACGTGTCTCTATATGTTGTCAGGAAATAGTAGTGGTGTCTTCCACACTTCTCCCTTGACCATATGTGAAGTGTAGAGGGTCCTGGATGGGTTCTGTCTATGTTCTTAGTCTTTTTTGCACAATTTTTTCCTGACATTTTATAACTTTGGATGTTAAGGCTATTGGTCTTATGTCATTCGTTTCTGTTATTTTGTCTTTCTTTGAAAGGGGGACGATTTCTGAACATTTCCAAATAGTGGGAATAGCATGTGTCAGCAACGACTGTTTGATAATGTAGGTGTAAATAGAACTAAGATGTGCTGAACACATTTGTAGAATTTTGGGTTTCACACCGTCTGGGCCGCACCCCTTTCTCACATTCACACGTCCAAACACACATCTAACCTCGTGTTCTTCAACAACAACAACATATATATACACACATCCACACGTCCAAACACACATCTAACCCCACGTTCTTCAACAACAACAACAACATTATTTTCATTTGTGTTGGTGTTCACACATGGCAAGTCACACAAACTGCTTTTGTCAAATGAAGAGTAAAAGGCACTTTAAACTTATTTGCATAGCTCTCTTCATTGTCAACACATATGTTTGTTTGTTTATTTTTGTAGCCCACTGCATCTTCCATAGCTCTTCTTTTGTATGTTTGTCGACCCGCTATTTCCAGGGTACCTTGATAGTCGAAGCAGACTTTGTGCTGTTGATGCTAGAGAGGTGAGCAGAGTAAGCCTGATTCCCTGTACGGACTTCTCTGTTGACATCCACGCTCATATGATCGTTTGCAGTTGCGAGTGCCGAAAAACCACTACTAAAACTACACCAAATCTTGGTTGTCAACACATGCGTTTGTTGGTATATATTTGTAGACCCGTACATCTTCCGCGGCGACTCTTCTCTGTGTGAGGACCACCCCAGCACCAGGTCCTGGACGTTCTGGGGTTCCTGGATGACCTTAGCCTTCAAGACCAACACCTCTGGATCAGGGGCAAGCTTCCGGGTCCGAATGCAGGCTGTGGAGCCGGACTGTAAGTAATGATGATGATGGTGATGATGAAGGTGATATAAGTAATAATGATAATAATATAATAATAATAATAATGATAATAAAACTGATAATAATAATAATGATGGTGATGATAATAGGCCTAATAATAATGATGATGATGATGATGATGATGATGATGATGATGATGATGATGATGATGGTATAAGTAATAATGATAGTAATAAAACTCCAGCGCACCAGTTGGCCAACATTTCAACAGTCCTGGTCACAATGGAGCTTCCGATTTGCAGCTTCAGGGTATTGAAATAGTCCAATATCCAACTAAAGAAAAACTTAACCAAAGAGAATCAATGTGGATTTGGAACTTGGGGTCTCACAAAATTCTCACTGGCCTTAACATCGACGAGCCCCATTTTAAGGACCTTAAATTTACCACGTAATGTAATAGTCACTCCTTATGTTCCTGTAACCCCCTCTCTTTGGCCCTGCCTTTCTGTTATATTCCTTACCTCCACGTACTAGTTCCCCCACCCCTCTCTCTCTCTCTCTCTCTCTCTCTCTCTCTCTCTCTCTCTCTCTCTCTCTCTCTCTACCACCTCTGGCCCTAGTGTTTCTCTTTCTCTGGCCTTAGTGTTTCTCTTTCTCTGGCCTTTCCGTTTTGTGTTCACCGCACCCTTCTGTTATTATATTCCTTACCTCCACGCACCTGTCCCCCCCCCCCCCCCTCTCTCTCTCTCTCTCTCCCTCTCTCCCTCTCTCTCTCTCTACCACTTCTGGCCTTAGTGTTCCCTTCTCTCTGGCCTTTGCGATTTGTACTCACCGCTCCTGTAAGTGTTGAGACATGTATGTACGCACTTTAGTTGTTATAGCCTGTGTAGATCTAGATTCTTGTCATTTATTTTGTGAATGTTCCTGAGGAAGCCTGTTGAGGGTGAAACGTTGAACTTTGGATAAAATATTTTTTTGAAACACTGCCAGGTCTTAACTGTTTTAACATCTGCTTTATACAATAAAGGGTTCGAATCCCATCAGGGGCCTGACGTTGTGTCCTTGGGAAAGGCACTTTGCACAAATTTTCCTCACTTCACCCAGGTGGAAATGGGTACCCGGCTATAGACAGTGAACGATCTTGTCAGTTTGATAGTGTTTGAGCGCGTGAAATCCGCAGCTTGCACTGTATGCTTCTGTGGAAGCCGAGTATGTTTCTGAGTGTTCCCAGAGGGTCTGCTGGGGTAATAATAGTTGTAAAGCGCATAGAGCATGCTCTTGAGCATGGATATGCGCTATATAAATGCAATTATTATTATTATTATTATTACAATGATGATGATGATGATGATGATGATGATGATTATATAATTTGTATAGCACATCTCCTAATCTCTCCCCTCTCACCCCCGACCCCCCCTTCCCCCCACCACCCACCACCCCCGCCCACCAGACCCCAGTAGGATCTCTACCCGCACGCAAGCCATCATCGGTGGTTCAGTGGCCGGGGCCTTCCTGCTCTTCGCCATTCTGGACGCCATCTGTAGGTCTTCCAGGGTCAACAAAAAGTATGTTTTCAACCCCGGCTATAATATACAGTGGAACTCGGATTTAACGAGCTCGGATTCAAAGAGAACTCGGATTCAACGAGATGAGATGGATTCCCCGTTTATTTTCTTCTTTAAAATCAATAAAAGTAACCCGGATTCAACGAGCACCTAAATCAGCGAGCTCGGATTCAACGAGGTCGCTGCCAGGGTGAACAGTCCCCGCAGACGTGGCTTTGCTAATTTTGTTCCCAGAACGAACTTTATCCATTCCTGGAAACCATCCATTTTGCATCGTGAACCATTATTCACTTACCCGATTGCATGCGACCAATCAGCGGCCTTTTTAAATATCAACACACGTGTTGTTGGCACGCGCACGTGTCCACTCTGGCGTGTGTCAGGGTCGGATGGGCGGCCTGCACACGTGAGGCTGTGTGTGCGTGTCAGAGGGGGGGGGGGCACTAGCGGTCCAGGCGTTGAACATGGCATATATATAAACGCGTCACAGTGTTTTTCCCCCCTCGGCAACTGATCATTATTACAATAATAAGCTAGTCTTGACGTAGATCTACGTAATGAATTGTGCGCTGGTCTATTGAATCAACAACACAACTTTTTGGTAAACAACCGAGATGACACAGGCGTGTGTATTTTAACGAATCGGTCTTTTTTTTTCCACAGCTCATAATAATCAGGCATTTCAGGCACTACTTGTGACTTCTCTTGTACATTACTTGCTCAGTGCCTGTAATTATCTACCCAAAATCTCGTGCTTGCCATAACGAACACTTGGATTCAACGAGATTTTAGGTCAGGCCCGACGACCCCATTGAATCCGAGTTCCACTGTATAAACTCACACACATAACTACCCCCTCCCCCTCTCACACTCACAGTCTCTCTCTTTGTTTCTCTCTCCCCACCCCCTATCCCCACCCCTTTTCTCTCACTCTGTTTTCATCACTCTCTCTTTCTCTTTCTCACACACATATATGTATATATATATCATATGGGTTTCACAACGTGGTGGAATCAGGTGCTCGTCTATTTTTGGGCATGTGGAGTACTATTTTGCTTTCGATGAAAAAAATACCCATCTGTCTTGAATAGAAATCGAGATATTCGCGATTGATGAAGGTAGGATTGCCCAGTTTCATAGGTAAAATTAGCGAGAAAATGGCTGCCGAGGTCTAGTGAAATGGAGAGTACTTGGAAACTGAAAATTTACATTTGTTGTGCCTTTAATGAACATTTTTCATGAACTCCCTACAGATATGTGGTTTCCTTGTTATGAACATAAAAGTTGTTCAGCCAAAAAAAAAACATTCGATAGAAACTGCCAAACCGGTGGAAAAATGCAGTTTTCTTCAATTTTATTCTTTGAAAGAGTGCCTGATTTCACCACGCTGTCTCATATGTATGTATATTATATACAGTGGTGTCCAAAAGAAACTTGAAAATGTATTCACCCTATCATCATGTTAAAGCCTTGCACACTACCCACTCATGCAGCATAGCAAGTTCAAGCTAAATAAATCCTACATCAACCGACACAGTCGCCTGAGATATGGTCACTCAAATTTGACAGTTAAAATACATGCTTGACAAAATTGTGTAAAATCCAAGAAAGGTAAAAGCTTTTTGCTAGCGCTTGTATTGGAGTGTATTTAACAATGGTGGAATGGACATGTTTTGCATATCAAATGAATGGAGAATATTATTGTGAATAAGTAGACAAACTCTTTTTGTCAGCCCCACTCATATCTCCATACACGTTTTGACTTGTTGATTTCCCCCCCCCCCCCCCCCCCCCAGAGACGTGATCGCAGAAACTGTTCCCGACACAAATATGTCTGGAAAGTACGACACGAGCGACCAGTTGTGAGATTACAGGTGTTGATGACGTCATTCTGGACACTGCTGGTGGCCCATCCGGCTCAGAGGTCCATGTGGGTTTTTTAAAATGATTTTTGTAGTAAAGGTTTTAGTTTTACAGCACTTGTAACACAATTAAGTTGGTATAAATGTTGAAGATGAGAGGTGTTGCAAGATATTAACACGCAGAAAAGAAGGTGAGATAAGGGCGATAGTTGTTTGATAGAACATAAGGATAAGATAAGATAAGATACATCTTTATTGTCCAGATCCTGGCAAGCTGGTTTTGTGTTTCACCTCGTGTACACACACACACACACAAACACACACACACACACACACACACACACATACACACGCAGGCTTACAACCACATGCATAATATAAACGAGCAGCAATATAAACAATAATAATCTTAAGCTAGATACACACTCCTCAATGTTATTCTGATGCTTGCTCTAAGGTCGTATGAATAACTATACAAGATTGTTAAGATCGAAGAATTTTGATAGATGATGGTAAAAATGACCTTCTGTATCTTTCTTTGTTACTGATCAGAAGCATGGGTCTTGTACTTCTCACTGATGTTTTTATTTAAGGGAAATAAATAACAAACCACACCAGAGCATCTGCCAACAACCCAGGTTGACGTGTTATGATGTGCCATAGATAGAGCAGGCTGGCTGCTCGCATGCATTTTGATTTGATAACGTACAGTGCAGCCTCTCTTTAACCACATCGCCGGGAATAGAAAAAAAATTTCCTTATAGAGAGGCAACCAAAAATTACTAATGATAAAAATAAGGAAAAAAGCGGGACCGAGGCATCATCTCGCTATGCAGAAGACGTGGTTCTATCGAAGGTCGTTACAGAGAGGCTGCACTGTAGGTGTTTTTACACCCCTATCAACACAAGTTAGACAAAATAAGGAGGCAGGCTTCTGACCATGCCTGTCAGGGCCATCCCGGGCCGAGAGGGATACAACATCCCAGGGGACAGACCCGGGCAGAGAGGGATACAACATCCCAGCAGACAGACCCGGGCTGAGAGGGATACAACATCCCAGGGGACAGACCCGGGCAGAGAGGGATACAACATCCCAGCAGACAGACCCGGGCTGAGAGGGATACAACATCCCAGCAGACAGACCCGGGCTGAGAGGGATACAACATCCCAAGGGACAGACCCGGGCAGAGAGGGATACAACATCCCAGCAGACAGACCCGGGCTGAGAGGGATACAACATCCCAGGGGACAGACCCTGGCAGAGAGGGATACAACATCCCAGCAGACAGACCCGGGCTGAGAGGGATACAACATCCCAGCAGACAGACTCGGGCTGAGAGGGATACAACATCCCAGGGGACAGACCCGGGCTGAGAGGGATACAACATCCCAGCAGACAGACCCGGACTGAGAGGGATACGACATCCCAGCAGACAGACCCGGGCAGAGAGGGATACAACATCCCAGCAGACAGACCCGGACTGAGAGGGATACAACCTCCCAGCAGAAAGACCAAGATACTCTGTAAAATTCTCCCCACTCTAGAATCAAACTGGGGTCTCCTGCATGCGACGGCAAAATGCCTAACCGCTACCCCACAGACACCGGGATTCATCTTGTCATTGTCAGCCCGGTCCATACTTGGACGTTGTCTGTCCACACGAAGCATCGTCCACCCTTAGCCTCTATGCCTCACAACTTGCCTTGGAGTATATCCTTCTTGATGGCCTGCTGGCGTTTTATAGGACCAAAGCATTGAATTTTGTATTTTTAATTAATTGTTTAATTTTTCATTTTGTTCGGCAGGGTTTGTCTTGTGCGGAGAATCTGCCACATCTCATTCTGTTTGTCGTTTCTGCTTTCCATCCGGCTAATTTTGGTAACTCTACATGTATCTATGTGTGAAATGTTTTAGATAAAAAAATTTTTTACATGGAAGATGGCTTTTGTTATCTCTTTTGCACACATGCATGCCTTTTCATGCCAGTTTATGCACCAAACAAGAACCACAGAAAGACAATGAAATTACTTGATGTGACACTGACATGTCGCTACCCTAGAGTTACAGATTTCTGTCTGTTCAGTACTGAGGCAGTACCTAGATATATCTAGTTTGGAGAAATTGGACTCCAACATTTTTGAGTTTCACATGGCAAGCTTTTTTTATTGCAGTTCTTTGAATAGCTTGATAAAGACTCAGAATAATCTTACGATTTTGATTGAGCAGATAGGACATTTGGTTTCTGACCTCATGATTAAGAATAACAACACAGCACAAGCATGAAGTTGTTCAATGTAGTCTTACCAAATCAACTAAATGAATCTAGGGTCAAAACAAGCCCCCCCTCCTACCCCTACCCGACCCCCCACCCCCACCCCAATAATACAATGATATACCCCCAGTGGGTCGGGGGGATATAAATAGACTCACTGCTTCGTCTGCAGAAGGTGCAACCCCCTCAAAGGCGAAGTGTCGCACACGGACCCCAACCCTCTGAGATCCGTGTGCGACACTTACTTTGGTGTATCTTCCTCTTCTCCTTTCTTTCTTCTTCTATCTTTCCTACCACCGCTGACCTCATGTGCAGCAAAACGAGAGGTCACCCATCCCACAGAGTGGGCGCCTTGTTGACCGT